CAAAGCAGAGAATTAAAGAAAATGCAAATAGATGTACTCTCACTTGAATTCTGTGAAGATGCAGTGGGGAGTTGCCACCTTTAATGTACACCTGAAGTGCCTCTCATGGTTCCTGAAACACTTTACACTTCTGAAGCATGTGCAGCTTCTTAGAAATGATAAGCCTGAGAGATGAGGGTATCTTTCAATCCATTACTTAATGCAGACATTTAAAAGCTCAAGCACGGTCCTTGAATTACAAACTGAGATGATATGGATAGAGTTTGACATTTGCTATATATTAAGTAAACTAATTTAACATTAATAGAAGAGCTTATTCAGCCACTTAAGTATTAAAGTACAGGAGGGAAAACAAATGCAGACTGCAAAGCCGCTCTTCGTTGACCTTCACTACACCCCGTCCAGATGTACTGGATTCTTTCCACTATGATATACTGATACAATAAAGGCAGGAGACCCAGAGGTATTCTGTTGCAGTGGTACTTTAAAGGACTATGTGTACAGTTCAAAGCAGAATGTAATTGCTGCAAGTTGTTAAAGCCCCTGCTTGAGAGGAAAGCAGATTTGGAATTTTTGATCAAATTTACTTTATTAACACTAGAACCACCAGGGGTCGCCGTAGACCGAGAACCACCAATGGGTCAAATGTACCCGCTATTAGAATGCATTGATTTTCAAGGAACAATGTTCTTTTATTTATCATACTAGAACACGGGGTTAACAGTGAGTTTTGATCGCACAGGGATGAAACTTATACAAATAGAATCTGTGGACTGTCAGCTTTTCATATTTTTTTCCGCAGTGGGAGTGTATACTATTGGATATTATTTTTATAACATAAGACAACTATCTGTTCTATGTTCTTTGGCTTTCTACCTATAAATAATGCCAACCTTTTTGACCATCTTGTCACATGTTTAAATGTATCCTATTTGTTAGGATTTGCCTTTTTCAATAGTTTCTTAATACACTCTCATTACAGTTAAGGCTTTCATCCAGTTATAATAAAAAACTTCTATTTGCAATAATATATATTTTTGGGTTTCGTAGGACCTTATTAAGATATATTAAGATATATTAAAAGATAAGATGATAGAGTGGTGCAGTGACGCGTCCTAAAACCCGGAAGTAAGCTGCGCATGGGTTCCCTTGACAAAAATGCAATGCAATTTCTCCATAGGATTTTGGAAAATAGCTGGAAATAAGGTCTGTGATCGACACACATTTAAGAAACGGGTCACGTTTTGTTCAACCGGATAATATCCACATGTCTACCCTACTTTTATAATTTTCGAATCATAAATCTAATCGCCAGAAGCAAAATGCTAACGTTATGCTATAAACGAACTACAGCAGGGTCGCTGCTTCAACGTCACGCCAACTTAAGATCCATATTCAAAAATACAGATTCTAAATGGTACAAGTTGAAGCGTTTGTTTTAACAGTTTGAAGGAGGCAGGTACTTGCTTTCAAGCAGAACACGGCAAACAAACTTAGCGGGAGTGTTCACGTGTACGGCCTCGACAACTTCTGTAGTCCTATTCAGCCACTTGTTAAAAACATAGACTGTATATATAAAACAATCGTTTTTCAGACACGTAAACTCTTCAGAAATCACCAGTGGGGTCACTGCTGATGTATTTAATGTCGTAGAACAAGTCTCTTAAATGTGTTTCAACCACAGACCTTATTTCCAGCTATTTTCCAAAATCCTAAGATTGCGTTGCTTTTTTGTCGAGGGAACCGGATGTGGTAAAATGCTAACTTACTTACGGGTTTTAGGACGCGTCACTGCACAATAGGGATGCATACCGGTATCCGGTATTACCGAAATACCGGTTACTGGTGGCTACGGTATACCGTACCGAAATCAGATTCGGTTTCGATACTACCGAAATACCGGTTACTGGTGGCTACGGTATACCGTACCGAAATCAGATTTGGTTTCGATACTTTAAAAAAATAAAAATATATTTTCCAGTCTAGAAATAAAGTCCCCAAATGAACTGTGACGGGATTGTTTTCCAGTGAAGGTAAATGCAATGCCGAGATCTCATGACCATTATTCTATTATGTATTTGTTCTCTAGTCGAATCTCAGGTTTAACATTAATTATAACGGTGCGGTCTGTTTGCATTGACAAGATGTGCTATTCACGCGGCACACCTGATGGCGGGTGTTATAAGAGATATTCCATAATCGGTTTTCTTCATATTTGTAATGTATTTTTCATTGTTTGTTCAGTACTAAAAGGTCCAAGAAGTCCCACAATTGAATTTAATATTCATTTGACATGTTAACTATATCGTAAAGCGCTTCATGGGAGTAATTGTGGGATGATACATTTTCAAAGTATCACGATATGTATCGATTGAGTATCTGTATCGTTCAGTGGTATCGGTATTGTAAAAAAGTCAACGATATAAATCCCTACTGCACAACTCTATAAAGATGTTTATTTGGACAACCTAGAATATTTAAACAGTTAGTAAGAGTTGATTGCAGGTGCAGAGGCATGTTATTGTCTTGTCATGTTACTTATTAGCATAAAACAATAATAAACATTTTCAAACGAAATAAGCCACAAAATGAATACATGGGCTAAGGAACAAGAAGTTGACCAGTGCAAAGCTCCTACAGAGGTAAGGTAGAGGAGGGTTTTTTCAAATTTCTCCTCCATCTTTACTACAATTTAATTGTATTGTTTTTTTTCATATTAGTTCTGACTAGCTCACCTTTCACCTGAGGTGCAATATTACCTTGTAACAAAGAATGATTTGTCTCCTAACACCAGCGCTGCTGCTGCCGGCATGTGTGCTAGATTCAGATGTCTCACGTTTAAGAAAAGCAGCCCCTTTGGAAAGCCTTTAGCTATAACAATCAGATCAATATTTCATGGTGAGGGATTAAGTGTGAAGTTGTGTAGCTTATTTGAACTGCTGCAGGTAAGAATTTGTGTGAAGAATGTATGGTTGGGAAACATAATAACAGCTGCTGCACTCATGAGAGGGTAAGGTGTAGTTCAGGTAGTCACGGTACTGTATACAAACATAGAATTGGATTGAATAGATAGGCGGCATTCACATCATCTCCATCTAGCTGAGTTTGTGCTTATAATGCATCCCTAATAATCAGGGTCTTATTGATTTGGATAACACAAGGTGAGAATAATGAGTAATAAACTAGCTGGAAAACTGATCATTCCCAGGAAATGACGGACCAGAATCAACCTTTCATTAACATTTGGAAAAGCTCTCCTAGATCTTCCCATTCATCAATTGTATTGTTATTTGTCATTAGTCATCTCCTCCTTGTACAAGACTGTTAGTCAAAACTATGATTCATCGTAAAATACACCTGACACATTGTTTGTATTTTATAAATGTACAATGTTGTGCTATTGTGCAACAATATTAGAATTCAGTGGTGAGAGGAAATGCACCTAGAGCCCTCTCCAGAAGGACACTGTGTAACATATAAGCTCTGACGGTCACATCCCCCACCAGTGGGACAGAAGGCAACATGGCAGCATGAACGTTGGTCATGCAGGAGAGGGGGAGGCACAGCAGAGCTAAGGGCTGCTCTGAACTGTGATTCACGTCATTTACAGGCTTTCAGAGTTTTAAGATCATGTTTTCTGTTATTGGATACAAATCTTACTTTAAAGAGTTTAATGATATAGAGAGGATGGAGATTAGCTAATCACCCAGTTCTGTATTACACACAGTTGGTGGTATAATTGGTATGCTTACATAATATGTAATCTGTTTACATTAACGCCTCAGCACTGCTGGAAAATAAAACATGTAAATCAATCCTTTTCTGCTTATCGACCTGTAATTATGGAACGGTGCTTTCAGCAATCATCCACTTTCTCTCTGGTCACCCCCCTTCACATTGTTGCTGTTTTTTGTAGACGTTTTTCATTTTGACTCATTCCCCTCATTTCTCCTTTATCTTCATCTCTATTTCACTCCCTCTCTTTCTTGCTGTCTCAGTGTAATGTGATCCAGGACCGATGCTGGCAGCCCAGACTGTGGCTCTGCAATCTCTGCTCTGCTCTGGTTGCTAGGCAGCCTGTCTGAGACGGGGCTCGGTGATGCACCTCCCTCTTCGTCTGCCTCCAAAAAAAAAAGAAAAAAAGAAAGAAAGGGGAGAGTAGCAGAGCTGGCCACGAGGCCATCAGCCAACATTCAGATGATCTCCACAAATGTTTCAGAATGAGTTGTTTCACATCTGCAGTGCAGCAGAGCACAATGTGGGCCTGGGGGCTTCAGGAGGATTTGTGGTAGAAACACAGGCTCTAACCCACAGGACAGTGTGGCCGATCTCCACTGTGATGCTCCCCACCTTCTGATGTGTTTCTGATGGAAAACGCTGTGTGCAGATATTGTGTCATCACGCCTAGAATGAAGCCTACCATGTGTGGCTAACGCAGTGGGCTGCTGCTGGCAGGCCGCCCAGGTGTGGGCTATCGGTGGGGAGTGAAGCTACAAGGAAGAGAGGCATGTTCTGCTAATGTGGAGCCACTATGAGTCACGGTCTGCTCCATGTGGTTGTGGAGGAAGATCACTTTGCTAAACGCACAATGGCAATATGTGTAAGCCTCTATGATGCCTTGACTTTGCATGTGTGGGCGGCCCACATGCTATGTGTTAAGTCAGATTTGCCTACATTTTGCTTAAGATGACACTGGTATGGAAATACATCTCCGTGAAGGGAGTTTGATCACAATTTGATAAGGATTTTATTGTGTTGCACTGTTGGAGGAGCCTTTTCAAGATTGTCATTGTCATAACTACACTGTAGCTAGTATGATCAATAAAAGCCTTGAACCTTGAGGATAGCATCAACAAAATGTAAAAGATAATGACGCTGACATTGGATTTTCTGTTTATGATTTAAATACTCTCAGCCATTGACGTTCTTAAATAAATAAACAAATAGCGTCTAGTTCCCACATTAACAGCTTTTTGTGTATCTGTGTTTTGTATCTGCAGAAGTACAGGTACCAGGATGAGGAGACGCCCCCCTTGGAGCACAGTCCAGCACATCTGGCTCCAGGGAAAAGTGCCGAGATGCTTCACATGAGTGACAAGAACCTCGCTGCTATGGAGGCCATACATGGATACACACCGCACACACACATCTCTCCTGTCAAGGTAGGACACACACGATCAGAACTTGGGCATCCGGTGGTTCCCCTTTTTTCTAGTAAATGTTGAAATGTATGATTTAGATATTTCCTAACACTTATACATACATGACGTTTCTAAAATGTGCAAAATGGTGTTGGTAAAGGGTGATAGCATTTCAAATTAAAGCCAAATGAGACAAAAAAGGATGCTCTGAACTACCTACTGTATAATGCATTATCCGTTTGCTATGAATACAGATGTATGGTTATTGTGATGTGGTTCCTCTCATTATAATGTGCTTCAGAGACATAACAACTCAAAGCTTGTTACATTTGTATTAGGAGTTCCCGTTAGCTGGCGCGCAATGGTTCATAACAACACATTATCTATTATAACGCTGCACTTAAAACCATGTCATGTCTGTTTTGAAAATGTAATTCTGCAACATAAATACTTTAATGGGAATATAATGAAATTATGAGGAAATGTGGCCTCCTGGCACCTTTTAGTGACGGATCCTCTTTACACCTGTATGACTTACATGTAGGGTAATGTAATATCAGAGCTTAACAGCATGAAGATCTTGAGTGGACTCCAGATGCATTCAGTAATCAGATCACCTCCACTTCACTATGCTGTCAGAGATCAACTTACCCTGATAGATTATAATACTGTATGAAGTTAATCAGATTTTGACATCCAATCTTTTTTTGGTAGACGAAGATTGATAAAAAAAGATATCCTATTATAGTTGGTTCTTGTTAAGAAACATTACAGAACGGTATAGCTTGATTTAAAAATAGATGTTATTAAATCTAATGAGATTAAGGGTGGACGAAATGATAATGCACATTTTTAACACAGTATTTTAATTCTTTATGTTTTTTCTATATCCACGTACTACAAAATCAACAGGTATACTCCACTCTTAACATGTTTCGACTTGTTTTTCACTCAATCAGCAATTTAAGGGGACTTTTCTAAAAACAAAAGTTATTTTTGACAAAAACAAATGTGTTTATTGGCACAATATAGTAGTCAAATGAAGGTATAGGCTTACATCTGTGATGCTGTGGCAGGAAGTGACCGCTTTTGAAGCATGAACAAAGTTATCCAGAACTTCATAAACAAATACAAATGTTTGAAGTAGCTCTCGCAGTACAGACTCTGAACTACTTGGAAACACATATCTCATCAATGCAAAGGCTAATGCAGAGGAAGAAAGGTCTAAGAGAGCTCCATGACTCATTGCCACACAGCAGTCAGAAGATACAGCTGACAGCAGTGGGAATACGAGTCTTGTTGCAGGGAGTGCAATAATGAAAACATATTGTAGCTACAAAGGCAAGCAGGTGTACGCTGTAATGCTCACTTAATAACGATCCATCTCATAAGCCCACACATGTTATTTAACAGCAGCACTGGCTATTAGGGCTTAAGAGCTCCTGTATTTATTTGCTCTGAGGGGGAAAGTGTTTCTCCATCTCCCACACGGAGTGCACTGATGTCCCTGGGGAGCGGATGTGTCCGTTAAAATGCTCTCTTTTAATGAGCAGGGAGGAGAGGCTGAGTTATTGGGCTTCACCGCTGCCATTTCAAACACGCAGAGCTCGATCAGCCTGAGCTGTCGAGGAGGACACGCAGATCTCTCCTTGCACACGGTCAAATTGAGAAGTAATGGCATAGGAGAGGCTTTCACAAACAGACCATCATGACACAATGAGTGCGGCGAAAATCAGTTAAGTCAACAATATTCTATATATTAAAATTAGAAAACAATATAATACAGTCAGTACAATTGATCTCTAAATGTTTTATAGTGTGTTTAACCTCTTTTTAGGAAAACTAATGACACTCATTTGTGTGTGCGAATGTGGAGGGAAAGAGAGAACAGAAAGAAAGATACATTATTCAAGAGGTGCTGGATTATTCACATAACATGATGGTATTAATATAAAAACGTGTGCGCACAACCTACTCTAATAGACAGATGATTAAATGTGCTTTGAAGCATCGCATCATACAAGTAATAATTCATAAAGTACAGGAGTATAATATAAGACAGGAGGAAACACACTGTGTGTCAGTAATTAGCTAAAGTTAAGTCCATCTCCATGTCCTTTTATCACTGCTCTCTGCTTATTTGAACATTTGTTGAAGGATCTAAACAAGGGCAGCTTGAACAAAACAGAATGACCTGGCTGCTGACTTTTTAATTGGGATTGTTCAATGAACAGTAAACAACAAATAACACAGAGACAAACAAGGTCTGGCTTTAATTTGGTTGTGGGGGTTTTGTTTGTCTCTGTGTGTCTTTGACCCTTCGCTGCTTTGACGAGTCAAAACGGGAATGAATCAAACGGCCACTGTAACTAGTTGGCGACATAAAGGTGGGGATTAGCTTTTCTTTCCACAAAAATCACGATAAAGAAATATTAAAATGGTGTGCAACCTGAAGTACTTTGCTTTTTCAAAGGGTAATCAAGCTGTCCTTTGTTGACCTTTCTTGCTGGTTTGATAATCCCCTTTCTCCCACTGGAGTTTATCATCCCGCTCATGCCAAGGGATCCATCATTATTCACAGTTCATGGGAGCACTGTGTATTACTGTGATGGGGAGGGACACTTTCTCTTCCCCTTGAATTTTAACATTGTGAGCTCATTTAAAGTGGACCTATCATGCTATATTTGAATAATATATTGTAGGGCCATACCTATATGAAACATGTCTGTGAAGTTTTTTTTTCAAAATACCAAACAGATCATGCATTTTAGCCATGCCTCATTTCGCTCTATTTACTCTATTCCAGCCCTGTTTTTGCAAGGGCTGATTCTGTGAGCTGCAGCTGACCTTTGCAGGGGGGCGTGGCACGGGCATCATGTTACCATGCTGTTACCAAGCCACGCAACCTCTCATTCCCCTGATAGGTGGAGAGTTGCCCATATAGGCGGAGCACCCCGTTTCTGAAGTCAGAACAATTTCAAATCTGTATCGTGTATTGCAGCCCCGTTTTTAGAGATTTGGGTATGGAGGAAAAGAGAGAGAGTTGTGCTTTCTGACACTTGGTGAGTTCCCTGCCACACCCCGGGGAAACATATTCATGTATAAAAGACGTACAAAAGTGCATTTTGCATGATAGGTCCCCTTTAAGTCTGTTTGAGAGAAAATGTAAAATGTAATATTCGTCCTGCACAAATTTGTAAGTACGTAAGAAGCTTCTCTGTAATAAGTCTCCAGATAGAGTTCATTTCAATATAGGGCTGGTCATATAATATATTTGATCAACAACAACAATTAATCTACCATATCCTAGCCCTAACAAGTAATGTAACCCAATCCTTAGTGACATAGACATGTATTTGTATCTGAATGATTGAAACCACCTCAATGAGCTACGTCCTTGCACCAGGTGACATGATAGGAGTCACTGTCAATCCCACAGAAACCTCCTGTTGCCATAAATACTTGTTGAGAAAAGGGTGAATGTTCCTTCTATATCAGAGTAGCACATGATAACAGAGGCCCTACGTAGCTGTGCACGTAGCCGGATGTATGACTACATGGATGACGCTCATGAGACACTGTGTTGAAGTTATGATAGCTATGTGCCTAAGATTGGCATAATGACACAGTCACTCGAGAGATAGACATATGACTGTCATGAGTATTGCTCACGCAGGCTAATCTTAACTAATGTCAGAATACTGCTTTGAACCGGTATTCTTCCATCTTGTGACTGTAACACCCTCTCTTGTATATAAGCATGTGAAGGACTCTACTAAAGTTACTCTTTTGTCCCATGCAGCCGGGAGTGTGTGATGACTACTTGCATTCTTGCAAGGATAATAAATACATGTATCTTGATATTGAAGATCAAGCCGGTGACGACGAGTGATATTTTTCTAACAATACTCAACAGAGCAATATTGTCCATATCAAATATAGAGTTTTGGTCTTTTAATGGAATTTGTTGATCTGTTAAACATGTTATTTTATTCAAACATGACATTATATCTAAAAGAAGTATAGGCTGCTGCACCCACGCCTCAAACTCTGTTAGTATCTGGCAAATACTTTACACAAAGACCTTCATTAGTGTATATCATTTTCTCAAGGGATGAGAGTTCTCCACCAGGATGTACATGTCACAACTTCACACAGCTCAATTACTTTACTGGCTCTTTTTACACCATACTTTAGTTCTTGCGAGTCTTGAACATCACTTTCTTGACACCATTAAAATCAGGGGACAAAGTGCGTTTTGTTGGATGGTAAATGTTAAAAGGACTATATTTATATAGCACTTTATCCAGTCTTTACAACTCCTTAGAGCGCTTGACATTTACAAGTCATCTTTTACCTATTCATACTGCATTCAAACATTCAAGAAAGCATTCAGACACCGTTGGTCCTGCCATTGGGTGCAACTCAAGTATCTTGCCCAAGGACACACAGACATGTAGGACGGCTGGGATCAAACCCACAACCTTAAGATTGAGAGACCGTACTCACAGCCACAGTCGCCCTCAACGGATGGCTGGTTTGTAAAAGCCATCTTTGATGAAGGCAGGGGCAGAAACACCACAAAGCCAGACATCTGAACATGTTGTAACACTGATTGTTTAGCTGCTCATCATCATCAGTCACTTCTGTTTGTACAGTGTGAGGTTATACCCTCAATTAGCTCCATCTTATTCACAGGTTCTTAGCATGCTTCTCTTGGGCATATGAGCTTTCTCAAGTCTTGATGTACTTGTATCCATCTATCAAGAAAGGGTAATTAAAGAAGAAGAAAAAGGAACCATTGCATGATTCCATCACAATATATTTAGAACTGAATGTGTTGAGTGGGCTGAGGGTGTTTCATGCGTCATCATGTAATGTGTACTGTCCTGTTCTCGATGTAGTTTCTTGACACCATGTGCCTGGAGATAAATAAGCCCTTTGTTCAGCCTACAAAATGAGTCAAATGATTACAGAGAATTCCCAACATGACTTTAAACAGAGCAGTGTTAATCCACTTAACATTTATGTCTATGTTATTTCTTATATTTGGAAACGGCCCTGTTTCTGTTGCAGCTGGGTCTTTTGTTGAATGTCATTTTATGTTTTATGACACTATGTAACTAGCCCAAATGTTAGAGTCTAAAGCACTCGTTCACAAACGGATCAATACGCCAAATCAAACTAAGTTGGAACATCTTTGACAGTGACGGAGCAGTCAAGTATGGTTGATTCCTCGCTTGTCCCTTTTATTATTCTAAAAAAGCACGTCTGTCTGGAGGAATGTTTAGTTTAAAACTAGGCCAGCTTTAGTCCCATCAGATATAACCGCTCGAGGTTATACTTTTGTGTAAAGCGTCACTATTTATGACGAGCCTAAATCATACTCATCACTCCTTACACTGACATTCTGGTATCCGCAGATAAAACTAAATCAAAACTTTAGTGTTGAATACAAAACTGTCTTATAAAACATTGAAATGCAAGCATGTTAAATGGTGGGGGAGTGTAACTTAAATGGGAAACATAGCAATAGTAATAACATTGTTATTAAGACACCTACACTTGGGAACGAGGATTGGCCCTGTTTCTATTTCTGGAATACTGACATTATTTATGAAGTCTTGTGTTTCTCTTCAGGGAGAAGTGAATTCACTGTGAAGTGTAAAAGTCCGGGCTAGCGCTAGTTCAAAGTGAATTGTTTAAATCGTTTTATGGGCTGCATCCTTAAATAGGTATAAAAAATACATATAGATAAATAAAAGTGTGTCTATCCCAGGCTGATGGATGGCTATAGACGAAACTGTTTGAGCCTCAGGCCGGTAGTTAGGAGCATAATATAAGTGCAATAGATTATTCAATCTAATGTGATCAAGATATTTTGGTTTTGCTTTGAGAGAAAGGCTGATGATGACGCTGGTTTGTCTTCACTTTGTGTAAACACTTGACCTAGTATTGCTTCCTGACACGGTGCCATGTTTTGGTTTTGTGACCCTGTTTATTACGGAGTGTGATATAAAATGACGAGTCATTTGATGAATCGCCTAGCCTAAATAAATCCCCTTTTTTCAAATGTTACTTCACATCTTTTGTAAGTTGTATTCTTCTCCTTTCTCAAATCCTCTCCTTCCTTCAGTTTAAACCTATACACCTGCCAGGGAAGTCTTCACGGGGGTTGTGTGATTAAATAAATTAGTGCTTGTTATATACTCTTTACGACTGTTCAAAACAACTGCTGATGTGCAATTGAGCAAGGCACTTAAGTCCAGAAATGTGTCCAGTGGAGCCATTCAAAGAAGGCCATGTCTATATTGGGAAGGGAAGGTGCCGTATGTAAACATGGGGATCAGCAGGAATCCACCGCCCAGGTATCCTACTTGGATCAGCAGACATTCACACTTTAATGACATGCTCTGCAGCGATGTGAAACTCTTCCAGTGGGAGGAGAGCGTCTCCTGACATGTGAAATTGCTGCACTGCTGCTGCTGTCAAATTCATAGGCACAGGGTGATTTGTTTAGAGAAGCAGCATCAGCCGTAAGATCTATTCAGTTAAACAGGCGTAAGATCCCACTGCTGTTTCATTGTTAACCGATTCTGAATAAGCTGTTTTGATTTGCCAATCAATAAGTTATCAATGACTCGGGGGGTGCTGTATCATTAAGCATGTGGATTGTTGTATTTTCCCTTTTTTTTTTTATATGAATGGAAATGGTTTTGTATTTGTGGTATACAATGTATCAGTGTGTGTTATCATCAGATACGGACATAAAACAGTGTCATTCCTGAACAATATCTATAACCAGGGGTGCACATAAGTGGTACGCATGCGCGGCAACAATCAGAAATGCGTACCGTCACTTGTGTCACAAAGCACATTTGCGTGCCGACGTACTTGTGAAGCTTTTCCAGAAGGCGGTTAGATCACCGGACGACATCGGTTTCCGTGTGCACAGACAGGGCTGCTGTTAACGTCGGTCTGTACAGCAGCACTGTGCTAAAACAGCACTGCGCTAAAACAGCTGATCACAACGTTCACACGCTCTGTGGTCACGAAGCTCTGCACTCCACTACCTGTGGGAACTTTGAGGGGAGCCAGAAGTTGGAGTACCAAACACTGACTCCAGGTACTCATCTGAGTACCTCACTGAGAAAGTTGTGTGCACCCCTGTCTATAACACTGATATATGTTGTCAAACTGCAGCATACAGAGTTTATTTGAGCTGCTTTTTTACAGATGTTATGCGTCACAGTACTAGGGCTTTCCTCGACTTAAGAAATTCTTAGTCATCTATCACCAACATGGCCAAATAGTTGACTAAGAGTGGGCAGCCCTATTCTGTACCGTTTGCTTTCTATAAGGCACACTGCTCCGCATGATGACCCTTTTCTTTGATGTTGTTTTGCAGCCTGTGTTGATGTCTTCGGGACACACTCCAATGTACACCTCCGCTGTCTCCACACTGGTAAGAACAAAGCAACCCGAGTTCGCTCCATCACCCTGAAAGTTATCAGTTTCATCATCAGTCATCCTCATCAGTTTTATATATGTCCTCATTTCCTGTCTTTGCTGGATTTAGTGTCACTCGAAGTTTACTGTGTAAAGGGTGACCTGTGCAACCTCATTGTATCTGTTCTGCCAGAGTATGAGGTCATGTGTTTTCTGATGGTATCAGTTTGTTCCGAACTCATTGCCATTCAAATCTTCTTTGTCTAGAGATTTGTTACGCTTGTACTCAGTGACTATTTTTGGGCCTGATATCACATTATCGGATCTGAAATGTTTCCAAATAATGTTTGTGTATCAAATATTGAATTCCAGTGTTATATTCACATTGTTACTTTAGAATCAGCTTCTCGGATGCATTTTTGCACAAAAGCTATCCTGGAATATGTAAAAGAATGAAAGTACCCACAATGCAGTTAGAAGGATGGTAAAGCTCCAGTGGTATACAGTAGCATGAGGTTCTGAGAGACAGATAGATGTTATCTGTTTGCAGGACACACTGAAACCTGTAGGTGTCAGTGTTCGACTGTGCAGTGACTTTCATAACCTTGAAAAGATGGCTATGCTGCTTTCTCAATAAAACATTATTTTATTAGCCTCACGCTCCTTGAATAGCTCAAAAGATTTAGTCTGTCTTTCAAGGCAGAAAGGGTTGTGCACTGGCATTGAAGGGACCCATATTAAAAGGGCCATTACTTATTGCTTCCTACCTTGAGAGAGAAGAAGCTAATTATCACATAGGAACGTAGGTATTCAAAGGAAAACATTACATAAAAAGCTAGTTGCACCTGTACTTGAGTACGTTTGAAAAGTGCAAAGATGGGATCATTTGAACGAGTGGCATATAGTCTCTATGTCTCAGTTGAACAAGTGGTTACTCATGTACATCATCCATTCATGTCTTTGTCTGCCTGGCCTGACCTTGAACGCATCATGTCTTGAAGGGCCTGCTTATAATGAAACTGTTTAACATATGGGGCATTCTGCTCAACCTTGCAGCATAAAGTCATCAGTAAGAAAAATGTGTTCACATGCATCCCCTCACACATTCACAGACGTACTTCATCCATGTTCTGTACTGTAAGGTGACGTGCGTTCCTACATGCAGTGCGTGTGCGTGTGTGTGTGTGTGTGTGTGTGTGTGTGTGTGTGTGTGTGTGTGTGTGTGTGTGTGTGCGTCCGTGCGTGTGGGTGTAGTGCCGTGTGCTTGTCATTGATGTGTGTGTGGTGTCGTCAGTCTGTCTCTTTATTGCTGTAATGGTGTAGGGTTAGCCAGCTCCACTCCAGGCCCCATTGATTTATGGGTAGGATTTTCTCTGGAAGCACTGCAACGTTTGGCAAAGTAAGACGAGGTCTATGGGTTATGTACATGATTTAGCGAAGAGGTGCTTTAGTTTCAAATGACATCCTTTTTTTTTTTCTTTACTCGGGGTATAATGTAATTAGAAATGATTTTTTTCCGCACCGCGCGCAGAACTTTTGATATTGATCTATGCTCGTATTAATGGATATCCTTACCCCTTCTACTTTATATGACTCTGAGTCCGCTGTACCATGTCCTACTTTTATTATGGGGCTACATCAATTGTTGTGATGGCCGTTTTTCAGACTGTTGTGATTACATTAGAAGTTCTATGTTCTAACAGCGAATACAAGCCCCAAAATAATTGCTTTTTTATGTATCACAAATGTACACAATATAAGACAATAAAGCATCAAAATAATCCTAAAGAGGGAAGCAAACTATGTGCTCTCACCTGCTTGAAAAATATAAAGAAACGGGTTGTTTTGAAAGTGTAAGGCTGAGCTAATGAGCAGCGAAGCTTCGGTGTTGCAGAAAGGGTATTTCCCTTTGCAGTGAATCCCAAAGGCATCTAGGTATTGAGCGAAACTTGGCCAGCATTTATTATGTCTTCAAACTTCCCCTAATGACATACAAAAACCTCCCTGAGCATGCGTAAATCCGTAGAAGCAGGAAATATACCACAGTTACCCAAATACCAAAGCTTCCTATAACCATCCCGTCCTTGCTCCTTGACTCCTTCCATAACAATCTACCTGCACTTACAGAGATCAGTCTCAAAAGAAGTGTTAGGGAAACTGTTTTTCTAAAGCAGTAAACATAACACAACACATTTGAGATTTATCCTTCAACTGAAAAGCCGGGAGTGAAAACCAGCAGGCATGAAGTGCTTTCTAAATACCCCCTCCTCTCAGTTTATATTACACTGTCTCTTCTAATGAAAAGGGATCCATATCAGTGTCTCTCCTCTAACCACAGAACTGTTCCTACACAATACTTTGTTCACACAAATGCTCCAGACTAAACAGCTAACCCCTCTAAGACGTGTTTGACACTCAGCAAAAAAGGAGTCATTTTGTATGTAAGGATTCAATTACTGTTTTCTATAGTGTTTCCCCAAGAGCCCCCCATTATACCCTCCCCTTTCAGCGCGGCACTCATGTCTAGTTGGTATCTGGTTTCTATCTTCATTCTCTCCGTCCTCCTTACTTTTCTTTAATAAATGTTTAAATATGTCCCTGCAGCTTCGGTGTAATTACAGTGCAGCAGCAGCTCAGGTCCTTTGGGAAGGCGAGAGAGAGAGAGAGAGAGAGAGAGAGAGAGAGAGAGAGAGAGAGGGAAGAGAACAAATATGCACGCAGGAAGACGAGGAGAGAGCTGTTCATGCTTTATGGCAGAGTGAGATAGAGAGAAGGCCTCGCAACTGAAAGAGTGAGAGATAGGTAGACAGAGGAATTTTATTTGGCAAAATGGGAACGTCAGCCGACAGCTTGTCCTTCAGCATTGTCCTTACATAAGAATGTTAAGTGTGTGCATGCGTCTGCGCATACAGTATATCTCTCTCACACACACACACACACACACACACACACACACACACACACACACACACACACACACACACACACACACACACACACACACACACACACACACACACACAGGAATTTGACTTGGTCAATGATGTGCCTTTCGTGGCAATATCCACCATTCCCTAATGCAATGAATAAAATGGCAGCTATGCATGTTATTTCCTAATCAAAGATCCTTTTATATTTGTTGCGCTCCTTCGGGGTTTTGCTGTCCATGGTGCTGAATTCATTGCAGGGCCATGAAGCATACACAGTTTGTGATGATAGTGATGATGTTGCCTCTAAATGTTAAAGAAGAGGAACATTATGTTGTTCAAATCAAAGCAAAATAGGAGTAAGTAGCATTTCGGAATTTCTGTGACAAAAATATTTGCATGGATTAAAGACCCCCACTAAAAATGAAAACAGAAAAAGCAACTAAAGCAAAGGGAAAAACTAGAATGATCTAGTGTCAAGCTATTTTTCATCACCCTGGCTGCCACTACTATGTTTACGTTTCACTTCTCTGACTGTAGAAGCGGGGCTAGCGGGCCTCCAGCCTCCTCTCAGTTTCAAGTGCTCCCTCGTAGGCGTCAGGCCAGTTTGAGCGGCCTGTCCTTCTAAGTTCAGCCAGGGTATAATACCTCCCCCTCTCACATCACCAGCGTCGACAGTATACAGAGAGACAGCTAAGTAATTGCCATCAAACTTTCCTGCTCGCTCCTCGTTCTCTGAGCAGCAGGGATGGGAGGGGTACAGTACAGTAGAGGCAGAAAATATGAACTGCATTTCTCTCGAGCACAGAGCAGCAGCAGGGAGGGAGGCTCCGCGATCGCACCACAAGACCGGGAGGATCTGTTAGCAAATGATTATTTTCACTCCGGATGGGTGATTTCTGAAGACAGGACGATTGTGTCTCAGATAATAACGAGCCTCATCAGCGAGGAGTCATTTTTATAACTGGAGCGTTGGGTTGGAGGATGTAATTGTGCTTCCTCAAATGAAGACTCCGCAAGAGGAGGATACTAATGGGCTGTGCTTTTTCTGCAATTTTGGATTTTAAATTGTATAAAAGCGCTTTCCTTTTTTTTGCAGCTATCCTTGGTGTTCTGTTCTATTCCGGTTGAATGGAAAGCAATGCTGAAAGTGGGTTTTTAGATATTTCTGAGGCCATGTGGACGCTTCATAGTGTCTGATATACTGCGATGGCAGGGCCCACAACTAATGGCTCGCTGGTGGTAACGTTCAAAGCTGACATTTTTAGAGCGCACTCGAAATCTTCCAGCCACGCGCTTGGAGTCTGTTATTTTTGGCGGTGAGCAGCAGGTCGGCACCACGATTTAGGCTACATTTCGACACTGAAGCAAAATGTTCATGTCCGTGTGGCACGCCAAAAAGATGGGCAGCCGTTTCCTCGACAATGTGCGGAAATCCAAGAAACAGCGGCATCATAGGATGGTATGCATGTTTTAAACATGTTAACTTATTATATTTGTGAAAAATGAAAATGCAATTTTGCTTGGTGGCTTGGAGGTGGTGCTTGAAGCTTGGGTGTTTGATTATGTTATTATTATTATTATTATTATTATTATTATTATTATGATACAAAGGCTTGGTTTTGGTTATCTGCACGGATAGGAAACTTAAGGCTATGGCTGCACTAAAGGCCCATGATAGATAGATTGTAATCACAGTGAGCCCGAGTAATCAAATCTGGTGTAATACCGATTACATTCTGTTCAGGCTGTGTGGGAATAAATGAGTCCTATGCTTTGAAGGGGATGTTTCTTTTACTCAAAATCCCAAGTCGTAGGTCCCCATCAAATCCACAACCCCATTACTCACGCACATACACCTTTCCCCGCTCATATAAACGTGGGATTTAATGAGCAGCAATGTGCATCATCTAATGTCCAAATGACCCACATCCTGCACTACAACCCACACACAAGCAGAGGCAGCACATTCACCAGCCATCCAAGCTGACAACATAACCCCAACTCAAACTCACAGCTACGTTACGAAAGCCCTCACACTTCTTTAACAGCCTTGCACAGCCCTAAGGTAAGGCTCAATCTGGAGTCTCTTCCAAACAGAACAGCAGCACTTTGCACTGTGCAATACCAATTATGCTCGCCCGCTTATACATCAACACCCCCTTTGTCTTTATCAAACACAAGCCAATTCATAACTTGACATTGCGTAATTAAATAGAGGTCATTGTCTTGCTTATTGACAGGATAGCTCTTAAGGTTTAAAGGCTTTCCAGCAGCAGAAAGGTGTGCAGGACATGCCGCTTTCGAGCCTCTCCAGCATCATCCCTCTCTGATGGTATTGAACAGCAGGAAGAACGACAGCAGTTGGTGTTTTAAATATCCTTAGGCTTAAGTTAGCAGGTGGATGTCATTAGTATTGGCGTTATTTGACCTCATTCCACTAAAACTGTCCATCAGACAGAAAGTGACTAGAGGTGTGAGCGTGCAGAGAATGGGTTATGAGCCTTAGACAAACGTGCACATATGCAGGCAGGCACACGTGCGCAGATCAGTTAGAGTCGGACCAGATCACAGGAAGGTCTTGTGAGTCACATATTCGGCAGGGAGAGAGTGTAGCTACATCCTTAGACATAGGCAGAGTCTATATATTCAGCTCTTAATGGAAAAAAGACATTGACACTGCTTCACTGTTCTGCTGCTCTGCTTCTTGCCTCAGCACAGTGCATGCTACAACATTGATGTATGAACTCTAATTTAGGGAATGATTAAAGCACATATCACACAAAACACTATCAAATCTGATAAGTAGAAAAGTCTAGATAAATCAGTTTTATTTGTCTTTGAAAATGCATATTCTGGCACTTAGCTTTCTGCACATCAATCCACCAGGAAGCAAAGGTTTAAATGAGAATGGATGCTGGTGGGGCTTCCTGTACAGACGTGGCAGAGGACGGGTTAGCTGAAAAGGTGGGGCTAAAATATTAGGTGGGCAAGAGAAGCCAAAAACTGTAAATCCTAACAACCGCGACGTGGAACGACTTGACAGAGCAGAGAGGGCTCTGTCAAGATCCCTGCAGGGAAACTGCCTGCACTGGGCTTAGATTTCTGCTGGCTATACTCATTATTTCTGTCTCCAGATAAGGATGAATTTGACGTAATGTTCAGCAGCACGGCCCGTTGGACAGGGCTACTCAGTGAAGCTCTGCACAGGCACTGTTATAATCGAACAGTGTGCCGTTAAAGCCGCGCTGTGGCGTTTTGTGGAGAGATTGTTACGTCTGTACCTCATGTGGATGACTACTAACTCTTTATAAAGGCAGATATTTTTAGCATCATTCCACTTGATTAGTAATGAGCAAAGAGGCTTGGATGGTGAAGTTGTGTAAAGGACGGGCTATTTACAGAGCGTAATGACATGTTTTGAATACCCTTATTTATATAAAATAATGAACACAATAATGGGAACATCGGTCAGTGTAATGCAATACAGTTAAACAGCAACACAAGCATACAGTTAAATAAGCACCTAAATAAAAACATATTTGATGCTAGGATTATTGCAAGACTGTTCCATTAGACTATATTACTTTGAGCAGTATTAAATAAATAACAATCTGTGAACAGCAAGCATTTCTTCCATGGATTCTACAACTTAAATATCGTAAAGAGTTACAGGCTGAGTGTAGAAATAACTTCCAATCTCATCCCAAAAAGAGAGCACTGGGTAAGATTGTGAGGTTGTTTGTTTCCTGAAAACTGAGAAAGAGTGTGACGTTGTGTTGTGTAGTTGCTTGTGTGTGTGTGTGTGTGTGTGTGTGTGTGTGTGTGTGTGTGTGTGTGTGTGTGTGTGTGTGTGTGTGTGTGTGTGTGTGTGTGTGTCGGAGCTGTCAGGCCTGTGAAGGTCAGCGAGCTGCTTTGTGCTGCTCTTTGCTGTTCTGTGAGCACTTCAGATGCACACACCGTCTCCCATGCTAATCAGGGAGGTACAGAACAATGACAAATACAAGCACAGGAGTTTATAAAGAGAGGCAGATTGTGTGCTAGAGAGTACTGTACTCATTGTGGTATTTACATATTCTAACATCAGATACCTTGAAGAGAGCTATTCCTTGATAACACAATGAAAGAATGAGAATAGACTATGAGGAAATGTCACTGTGTTGAGGTTAGATGTCATGCTTTAGATGAGCTGACAGAAAATGCTCTCCTCTCATTGGCTCGCTGTCTTAAGAGGTTTGTTTTGAAACGACAGGCAGACAGTATTCAATAGATAGCCATGTATTTAACAGCTATACATCAATTGCAGAGGATCTGGGAAAACTATGGGGTATGGTCGGGCGATGGATAGTATTTACTGTGCAGATGCAGAAGTGTGTCATTCTGCAATATTGTATCTACTGTTAGCTATTCTCAGGTAGTCTAGTGGTTCTTGTTTGATCACGCCATAGTGCGATCTGACATACAGCCACACGGCTAAGTATCCTTATTTGGGCAGACGTGTAAGAAGAGGGCTATATTAGAAAATCAGGATGAGATAGATATTTGGTGTTGTGATTTCCAGCCACTTTTCGAATTTCTCACAGTATTCGTTTGCTTTTTTAAATGAAAGATGAGCAAAACCTGCAGGAAAAGTCCATTTTATTTTTTGCTATAATGTGAAGTAAAAATGTAGTTATTTTTGAATTGCTTTATCTTGTTTGGTTGAGTTATTTCAAACCATATATTCATTTAATGTACAGAACAGTTACAATACTGTTAGCGTGATATAACATTATACAAGAAGATTTTGGCCTTATATCCCACCCTAACCAAGGGGGCTCGCATGAATTATGTCCGTGTCCATCGAGGTTGGATTGGCTCTCCTCTCTATACTTGAGTGACATCCCTGAAATTAGAAATGTGCTTTTATCACAGCTTGGAGTTAAAATGGCCATCAGTGGTTCAGGGATATACTGAGAGCTGATCCTGGAGCTGCCTCATCTTTAAGTTACTGCCATTATTTCTTAACATCATGTCTTCTCTCTGCCTCCAGGGAAATACTCCTCCAGTGGTGGTGAACACTGACACTCTCGACGGCTCCCCATATGTAAGGATTATTTTTAATCGTCTCTTTATTGTATTGCTATGTTATCTCAAGTGCCTTCACATTCAGTCTGTATTATAATTCCATTCATGTCCAGCATCCAGGTAGCTCTCTGCACATTGTTTTCATCTGAATAATATACTAATTCATAGGGATGTCCCGATCACCTTTTTTTGCTCCCGATCTGATTCCGATCATTTGATTTTGACAATTTGCCGATACCGATTTTTCCCGATCCGATCTTTATGCAATGCATTAAAAGAAAAACAGCATACAAGTTGTCCCTTAAGGTTATTTTTTTATTTAAATTGGATATTCTATCCAACATGGATATAGCTTCTTTCTTTCACAGCAGCATTGCATCAGTTCAGTTGTGCAGCATTGGATCAAAACAAAATAAAGCTTTCAGTACTCGTTAGCTTACTGCTACAATTAGACACTGCGCCCTGCCCACTCTGTTGCCAGATTTGAGAGAAATAAGCAACCAGGTCTATGAAAACAGGCCCCAAAGAAGCAACACATACATGATGTTCTGTAATTTGAAACCAAAACCAAGGCCTCAGGATGACTTTAAGACTTGAACATGGTCATTTTAGTTTTTTAACATTGAATACAAAATTTTAAAAAAAGTATTTAAAAAAAAAAAAAAAAAACCCGATCCCCGATTTTTTTTCTCCCGATTCCGATCTTTTGAAAATCACGTGATCGGCTCCGATCCCCGATCACGTGATCGGATCGGGACATCTCTACTAATTCATTTGACCTTCCTTTAATTAAAATCTCTGTCTGATATAGATTAGCCTGTATGGAAACATGACATAATAATGTATTTTCTAAAATGAAAGAAATAAAATATCTCGAAGTACGTACTGACATGAGATGGGTGAGGAATAAGTGAATGAGGCTTCTCAGAGGAAGAACACCAGACCAGTATTATTGCACCACGACAGCGCTGAGAAAAGTGTGGTTTTCTAGGTCGGATACAAAAACAGTGAACTTCTTTAAATTCCCTCTCCTTCTGGGACTCGCTTGATTGCAGAGGTAAAGCTGAGTTGATCAGCCAGAAGGCGATACCAACTATAAGAATAGTGTTGCTATTTTCATCTAGGTACAACACTAGTCCACACATACAGTATGCCGAAGAGGAGCAGGGTTGTTCTTAATAAAATGGAGTCGACAGAACTCCTGATATAGTCAGATTTTAGCGCTGATGATGCTATGTTCAGGAGCTGATGGTAAATCCTGTAAGCCCGACTACCGATTCTGTGGATGAATATATGATAAAGCCCATATAGGGCAAATGCTGAATCAGCATTAGCTGACTAGGATTCAAACCGTTTTTTTTCCTTATAAATGATTTGTAGAAAAACAGTTAGTGACAGTGTGTGTGGCAGCATAGATCTGCAGTCGCGTAACTGTCCAATCTGAGTAAACTAACATCCCTTTCTTACAGGTAAACGGGACAGAAGGAGAAATTGAATATGAGGAGATCACACTGGAAAGAGTGAGTCTGATAAAAAGATTTTTGAAGCTGATTTTTAAACAAATGTAAACATGCTGCAGATGTTTCACTCCTAGCTCTAAGGCCACAGTGAAATGCCCCTGATGGGAATAGTCATTGTTTTTTATTTTGTGTTTGTTTCTGCAGGGTAACTCCGGCCTGGGCTTCAGCATAGCAGGAGGAACAGACAACCCTCATGTGGGCGACGACCCGAGCATCTTCATCACCAAAATCATACCTGGAGGGGCCGCGGCTCAGGATGGACGGCTGAGGTAAACACACACACACACACACACACACACACACACACACACACACACACACACACACACACACACACACACACACACACACACACACACACACACACACACACACACACACACACACACACACACACACACACACACACACACTTCAGGATCCCACTAAAGCCACTGATATAAAATCCAACAATCAGAAAATGCCAATGGACCCATTAGGCAGACTCCAGATAAAAGAAATGTGCACTGCTGACCTGTTTACCCTGCACGTGTTCTTTTGAATTCACTGATTCAGACATGCAGTCCCTTTTCTACAAGCAAACACACTTAAAGAAACATCCCATGTGTTCCTCAGCTCTTCACTTAAAAGTCTAGAGTATTGTGCCACAGAAATGCAGCCTATTGTCTGTCCAGCATGCTCAGCATCAACGTTACATCATAGAAGGCCTGTCTGTTTAACTCAAGATCTGAATGCCTCTGCTGTATACTACTACTACTACTACTACTACTACTACTACTAGTCATTTGGTCTAAAAATAAACGCAAAGTAGTAAAGTATCTAGTCATAGTACTGTTGCTTTTCGGTTTTTTAGGAAATTCAAAAAGAGATTTTGTACATTTAGATGCAAAAATGACATTTGTGAAAAATAGATCCCATTTTAAGCCAGTGATATGGAAAGGTTAGAAGATATCAATAAACAGCAACTGCAGTAAATGAGCCATGTACAGAGGATCTTCCCTGTATTTTACAGCTGACCTATAAACATCCATCTGGAATGAATTGTTCAGAGAGCAGAGAACGCTATATTTGCCTGAATGCAATGCGTTGTATTGGCCATATCTTGAGGAAAAAACATTTAGCATTATACTCCTGATATCTCAAAAACGGAATTCTTACAAAACCTGCAATTTGTGGGTGTATCATTCATGTTGCTACAGTTGAAGTCTCTATTTCATGATTCTAACGCTGAAACATTTATTTGTCTTTCATATTGAGTGACTCAGTAGCTCTTGAATCAGTATAAATATTAGATGTGAGATTGAATAGTGCCTCTTTGGGACTGTTAATACACTGTGAGCTAGCGCTGCTCGATTATGGCAAAAATCATAATCTCGATTATTTGGGTAAATAATTGATATCACGATTATTAAAAACGATTATTCATTTACTTATTGGAGAAAAAAAATGTGAAGAGTATGTTTTTAACAGTTGATTACCCTGAACTTTAAGTATAATTCAACTGAAAAACCAATAAAAAAAAAAAGNAATGTGGGCTCACTATTTGGCAAGCAACCGGTCACAGGTGCCCTGTTTATCTCATGTCTTATAAAAGCTTATTAATGATTTATAAAGTGTTCACAACCTATTTAATAAATGAAATACAAACTATTAGTAAACCCTTAGTCTTACTGTAAAGTGGTACCGAAAATAATGTATGTTTACCACTTGCTTATGAAGCCTACATCAATTAAAATGACGCAACATTGACTTTCGATTTCACATGGGACACACATGAGACTACTTTGGTCTCTTCATCATTTTCACAGCCAAAAAAGATCCGCATTATTGTATTCGCATTAGTGAGGAACCATGTCAATGGATGATAAGCTGCTATCTGAACCTACCGACAGGACCTTCGCAGCAGCCTCCCCCACACTCCGGAACTCCCTCCCCAGCCACGTCCGATCTACCAACACTCTCACATCATTCAAACAATCCCTCAAAACTCACCTTTTCACTCTTGCCTTCAACTCCTAATCCACAAACCCCTCACCCTTATTCCACCTAGTTTAGCACTTTTTACTTTTGTTGTTGTTTTTCTTCTTTACTTGCTTGTAAAGCGCTTTGAGCACCAGGAAAAGCGCTATATAAATGTAATGTATTATTATTATTTTTATTATTACTTGTAGATGTTCGGACCCCTTCCTTTATCAATGACCCATTGATGATGGCCATTTAATGGGCTGATAGATTTGAAGCATGTGATATTATCATTTGTGTCCTATAATATCACAGTAATGGTCCATACCTATTGTGACACCATCTAGGTGTGTGATAGCTAGTGAAATACAATGCTTTCTTGTGCAGGAGCATATCTATAGTTTTGAGGTTGCTCTGAAGAGATGGATATAATTCTTCTTTCCAACACTCAGTGACACACATCAGCTGCTCTTTCATCCAGATCCAGCCCTTCAGCTCTGGACTCAGCAGCAAACAGAAGCTGCTCCAGTACCAGCTTTTTGGGAGTCAGGCTGCAAATGATTACAAAAATAGAACCAATGCATAATGACTTTCACCTTGATCCCCATAAGAGTTTCAGGAGTTGAACAATTTGCCAATTATCCCGTTAATTTCACTCTTCCAGCTTCCTCACTTTATTGTGTTTGGAGTTAAATTAGATTCTAATCCCTTGCTCGATTTGAGTATACCATTAGGAGGCATTCATTTCTAATTCCTCCTTACTTTAGAAATGATTGTCCTCCCTGGCAGTAAAAAACAGTATGCTGGCATTGGATTGTGCGTACATCTGTGACACACAGGGTTTCAAGATTTCCCCAAACATGAATCACTTTAATGATTGGAAAGAGAGTTTGAGTAAGTTACTTAATTAGAAGGAAATATCAACTTCTACATTTGGAGTAACCACATTACTTTGGCACATTTTTCAATCATCCATCTGTGAGGCATCTGTCTTGCTCTTGGATCCAACTGCCTTCTCCCAGCAGATTGTGGGTAGATGCATGGCCTGCCCTGTGGGGAGCTGACACCTGTTAAAGGCAGAGAGGAGAGCAGAAACATGTGGATGGGAGTAACCTGAAGGATTTGAAGGCCTTAGATACATACCAGTTTCCAGGTTTAAATCCTCTTTATGACCTTTGATGGATGTTCTCCCCTCTCTCTGTCAAATCCTGCCTTACACTTGCAGGTGTTATAATACAGCAGAGGCCTTCCTGTGGTCAACCAGGTGATTTATGTTATGACTTTCAGGATTGAAATACCTCCGCCTCCCTCACAACCTAAACAGGTGGTTGGAACAGCCTGTAACATGTCAAACTGTTTAAACAGCCTGGTGGATTTTTCTCAAGGGCCTATTGTTAAAGTAGAATTTTAAAGGAGAAAATGTTAACCTATGACTCCTTTTGGAATGTGTTATATAGGCCTATATCTATTTATATTATACTTGAACAACTCTGCACTTTCTGCTGTTTTGCACTTCTGGTTATAATACTAACTGCAATTTGTTGTCTTAAAGGTGGGGTAGGTAATTTTGGAGAAACCAGCTCGAGTGCGCTAGAATTTGAAAATACAAAGCTGGGACAAATCTGCCACTTCCTTACAGAGCCCCTCCTCCAACACACACTAACACGCACATGACCAATGAGGGCACGAGATAAGTTTGTGCACAGATGGAAGGCTGACAGGCAGGTAGGCCATCCAGTTATTTTAGCCGGGTTGGCTAAAATTATTGGTCGTGCTTTTTACAGTACTACGGCTTCCACAGATGACATTTTTGTATGGAGTTTTTGTCAAAGCACTTAAGATATTCATTACTATCGGGATGTTAAGAGCATTCCATGGAATATAACAAAAAGTTTATCTCGAGCCGGTTTCTCAAACTTACCTACACACCTTTAAGCACTTGAGAGATGACAATAAAGTTTAATCTAATCTACTCTAAATCAAACTTCCTAATTAACGTGTGTTTTATTCTTACTAAAACATAAAAATGATGTCAGAAACTTCACAATAATTGGTCAAATTAGCAGTGTCCGCAACAACAAGGTCTAATCTAAGGTTTAATGTTTTGTTAGTGGACTAGTTGAATTTTCTTTATACTTAAATCACAGATCATGCCTTGAAAAAACTGTACGGATGATAGAAACATGCCGCAAGCTGAGGGTAGCACAGGGAATATGAGCATTGCACCCACACATCAGTGTCAATCTCTGCCTTTTTGCACACACACACACACACACACACACACACACACACACACACACACACACACACACACACACACACACACACACACACACAGCACGCACACGCACGCACGCGCACACACACGCACACACACACACACACACACACACACACACACACACACGCAATCAAACGGAAGGATTCTCATTGTGTGCTTTTCTAAAGAGAGATGGTTCCCCTGATGAGAGGGGTTGGTGGTGGAGCTCCTGGCTAACAGGAGCCACAGCTAGTGTGCGCAAATGCGGCTGAGAGGCGCTTGTATAAGCAGCTGAAAACGGAGAATGAGTGCCCTCCCCTGGTGCACTGTTGCCTTCCTGCAGCGTTTACCTGTGGAACTATTACTCATCAAATCATTAACACACACAAACACAAAAACAAGGCTGCAGAGTCCAATTTCAGAAAGCATTTTTAAATTCATTTTATTATTTTATAGCTAATTTACAACAAGCGCTTCACTGAACTGGAACATTTTATTTTGCTTGATATTGTCATCGTTAAATATATTTTTCTGCATCAGTTGACTTTGTTGTAACTTTGTATTCAGTCTTTTCTGTAAAAATTCATATATTTTTATAAGGAATATCACACTATGATACCGATGGCTGAGAGAGATATTAAGAAATACATTGAACCCTCAAATAAAGAAATTGAAAACATATTATTCCATTCATAGATGTGTTGTCATGTGTTTCTGTGATTCTCTCAATGTCTAAATGTTGATGCATGTGCGGAAATATGTGTGTGTGTGTGTGTGTGTGTGTGTGTGTGTGTGTGTGTGTGTGTGTGTAGTTTTTTCTGTGTTTGAGCAGTTTAACTGGGCTGTGGCTCTGATGGATCCCGTACTCATGTCAATTCAGCAGTGTGCACGGCTAAATATAAAGCCACACAGCACTCCAACATCTCCAATATATTTACAGCATCTCTGCCCGAGACCCAAAAGCACTGTCAATGTGGAAAAAAAATACAAAAAAATACAGACTTGAGATGAAACCTGTGACAGTCTTAAATAAATAATAAATCATAAAACT